ATATTTATTGTAACGTCAAATTTCGCGATACGAAATGCACGCACGGGCACGCAATAAATAAAAGCGCACGTGTTATTTGTGCCAATTCGACCGCTTTATTTCCAATTAAGTCGTGACCCGTTTGAAAATCGTCCCGCATTCGCACCGTTATATATGCAAATAATACAAATTTGTACGAGCTTTATCCCGCGCGGCGCGAGACGGGGGATTTGGAGCTCGTTTGAAAATCAAATCTTGAGATTTAGCTGCTAAGAGCTGATCCTCGGTTTGCTGACAGAGGCGTAAAGGCGACCCAATCTCTCTACGTCACTAAATCTTCAGATAATACGAGTATCTAGTTTGGAGTATTTTAGTAATATTTTTTGGGTTACGTTTTTTAAAAAGTCGGCACACACACACACACACACACACACACACACACACACACACACACACACACACACACATACACACACATATATTATTTTTACATTCTGATTCAAAAAGATTTATCAGAGCCACTTCTTTTTAAAAAATTCTTAAAAGATATCGACCACATTATATTTTTCTAATGCGAAGCATTATTCATTATATTTTCTTGAAAATTATTCATAACATTTTGTTGAAATTATTATGGTTTACATTGTTTCATCTTGACATTTTTACTTCCATAAACCTATCTTTTTCATTATTAATTTATATTGATTGAATTTTTTTTTTACTTATTTTTTATCTCTTGCTTTTAAAAAAATTTAATTATCAGAATAAGTCTTTCCTTTTCGCTCTTTTTTCCTCTCTTTTATTTTGGATTATTCTATCTTCGGATGTTATTAAGTAGTTTAATAAGTAAATTACAAAATATTTTTAACTTTATTATACTGCACACGTATTTCTAGTCATTTGCGTTTATTTTTTAATCACTACCGTAATCGTTCTATAATTCTTTCTCTAGAAAATAGCCTATTAATCTCGGAATAAAATCTATTCTCCTGTTTTTTCCTCTCTATCCCTCTAATATCTAACCGGAATCGAGGATAATCTGCATGTATAATTAACAGCTGGGTTCTTACGTGGGCACCACGTGAAAACGCTTCGTCGGTTTAAAGTTTCAGCGCGGACGTTCGAGGTCGTTGGAAGCTCCTCGACGTAGCCGTGGAAGGTATGCCTGCCGGTCGGTCGATGAGAACCGAGTCGAAGGAACCACGCTTGAGGGAACGTCGGCGTGACCCTAGACGCGCGACTTTACGTGTCGTTGACTGCGCCCGAATATACAGGAAGCCTGTACGTGGGAACCTCGTGCGCCGCACGTCGTTTCTACTTAAGACGGCCCGTTGCATCGGAACAATTACCGCTCCCACTGCTTTGTATGGTATCGCACATCGCGCCGGTAACGAAGTCGAAGGAACGAGCGACTTACGGCTATACGAAGTGTCTGCCTTTTTAAACCTTACCATGAAGTCTAGAAACACCTATACTTCGTCTTTTATATTTTTATTTATTTATTTATTTTTGCTATTGTATTATTATAATGTTATAAATATTTTCACGCATTTGCCGTGCAAAGAATGATAATGAATCGGAAGAAAGCGGCAATAATATCGCAATTTAAAAATTAATCTAATTGTAAAAATGCGGATTCTACTTGCAAATAGCGCCAGGAAAAAGATGATTAGTCGAAAAACAATGAATCTTGAATAGAAACTTTAATATTCAGTGCCTATCTTATAAATCAACGCGCTCTTTAACTTCGATGGAAGTTTAAGAAACTCGCAGAAGAGCAGTGAGTTTTTTTTTACGCTTCCTGAATAGTAAAGCATTTATTGGGTCGTTATTGCGTCTGTCGAGTAAGGAAACTTTACGGTTTATGCAAAAAATACGAGGAAATCCGATAATTGTGCTCATCAAATTAAACATTACGCATGATTCATGACACTGTGCATGAATGCAAAAATAGGAGAAAACATCATTAATTTAATACTAATTGTATTTCTTCAAATGTATGAATTTGCCAAAAGTATTATTTACTGATGTTTGTATGGCTTTTCGAAAATAAACATTTGTACTGCAGAATTTTTTATTTTTGTTGGTAATAAATAAAATTATTGATTTTCAGGTGACTGAACTGTTATACGGAACTAATGCGGCGGCAAACAAACATGAAAAGATGTCAGGTATGAATTAAAATTAATATTAAATTATTAGATTTTTCTTATAGCAAAATTATACTATTTGACAAAACATATTACAGGCACACTTAATTTAATTAATTAAAAAAGATCTTACTCATCTTTTGATGCCTTAACTGCCTTAAGAAAGATTAAAAAGAAGAAGCTTATCGGATTAATATTTAATATGCATTCCTTACACATTAACTGAATAATTTAGGTTTAATGAGATATAGTATTCTTCTCACATACACAGAAACTTTCGAATTGTTCCTAATACTGAACTCGTAAATTAAAGTAAAGTAAGAGTTTCGCACGGCTTTTCCTCACGTGCGTGTTATTGCCGCAAGGCATTTGCTTCTAGAATATATTAGTACATTGCGGAGAGAGATGACCTCAAAGTTTCATGCATACATGTTGAGTTTTATGTATATGACCAATGGAGTGCAATTGTTACTCGCATAAACTAACTTCATATTAAATATTAGATACTTCTTTTCCACTTGATTAGAAAATATTATTGCAAAATATCCAGTTATTCATATTTAATACTGAATTATTAAAATTATATTTTTTATATATTAATACTCATATTACAATTTTGTAATTTTATCGTTGTTTGAGTAATTTTAATTTTTTCATCGTAATAATGAAAGAAATGAAATGGCATTATCGTTTTTTTAAAATAAAAATAAAAATAAATTTTTGATAATGAAAAATAAATTAGACGCTTACAAAGCTAACTAGCTAAACAGTAATTACTCTTCTTATTATTTCCTTGATTATTTCTTTTTCATTGTGAATTCAATGTTCTCTGCTAAAGTACCGATCAATATAGAACTTCTAACAGCGCGCATTCCGTTAAAATTTATAGGAACGTTCTTTTCAACTGAAACGAATAAAATTAAATTATTGGTTGAATTTTGTATGCATGACGTTTCTTTTACGGTGCTATTTCTAAAGCATCGTTATAAAATTTGTCAACTATACCGGAAAATATAATGAATAAATTGCAAAGATCATAATTATTCGCGCATTAAACTCGTTTTATGATTCCGTATTCAAATTATGCATCGTCTATCTGCGACAATTCCATAATTCCCGCTTAAATAAGAGATAACAATAAATACGTTGTAATTTCCCTACATCGCGAAATTCATCGCTTTAAACTTTCCTTCGAATTCACTAAAATGACGTAATTACCGACAATCTATGCGAGTGCGAACAGAAAAGCGATTGGTGAATTATTCCACGTATTCGTGCAATTTCTTGTTCGTACTCCGACAAGTATTCGACTTCGGTGCTTTTCGATGCTGCCGCGATACAGTAGAGCGCCCGGTATGCCGCGGATTAATCGCGCGAGACCTCGTTAAGCATCCCTATATGCACCCGACCTCAGAATCGGCTCGTTAGTTGGGAGTCTACACGGTGCACGTTTATCAGAGACAGCACACGCTAAAGTATTTCACGGAATTCAGAACAGGAGTCTCCGGCACACCCACGGATACAAATCTTCTCGAAAATGGGAGACTGCGCGGAGAGGCAAACACGGCAGGGAGCGCGAGGGTATCCCTCGGCGAACGCGCAGGATGTCCCGGAATGTTTTCCTGCACGAAGTGTGTTCCGCAAACAGCGGAGGAAACGAGTTTCCGCGATACAGGAGGTAGGGACGCAAAAGAAACGAGAGATTGATTTACAGGATGTCAACGCTTCCTGACAACCATGCGGAGCATGTTTCGGACTTTTGCCGCGCGCGCGAAACGACTATTTGGTTTCGTATACAAGTTCAGAAATACAGAAGAGCTATATGCTCTCGAAGATGAAATGTTGATGACTGTAACATTCTGTATAGAAGGGGAAAGAAAAGAAGGGGAGTGCAGTTAATACTTTAGTATTTGAATTTCATTCGGTCGTTGCGTCGGGAAATGATCGGACAATTTATTGCAACGACGACGATACATATATCATAAAATCGCAATCAATAAAATGTTGCTCGGGATTTAAAGACGTGGCAGCCGGCTTTCGAGCGAGAACAATGACGGTAACGGCGGCAACGGCGCGCCGGAGGATTTATTGAAACATTTTGGGATACGTTACCGGGTGGTCCAATCGCAGAACTTGCACGGTTTCGGTGTGTGCTTGACTGATGAATTATTCATCAAGATGGAGTACAATCGTCCTCCAGAGGCTGTAACAAATCACAGTGCACCACGACAATCCCGTAGACACACAAAGCGTGCTTTTACCCCCTTTTCCCTTTCTGCCCTCCGCAGATCCTTTCTTATTTCGATTCTTTTTGCTTCTCTCTGAGATCCATTGGTTGTCGCTCGTAGCGTCTTTTCATACTAAAACTTGAATGAGGATCAAATTTAGTGCGGTCATTCTAATGCGCAGAGAATAGCGTGATAAGGGCCACTACTGTGTGTCGAGCTGACATATGTGTACGTTTTATCAGGGGAAACCTAAAACTACTCGTGTAGGCAATTAACACGTTTGCGATGTAAACCGCAATGTAAATTTTACAAATTAAAAAATAAAACAAAATTTAGTTTTTACGTAAAAATATAAAATACTGTTTTTTAAACATTTTATTTTTACACTTTTAATACATGGAAATTTTTTGCAAAAACTCCAAACCCACCAGTGATTTTCGTGGATGCGTTAATTTGATAAAATTTAATTTTTAACAGAAGATATATATTTGCAAGCGGATGTCTTATTATATTGAATATTGAAACATGCACAGTTTTTCTAAGTTTGATCCTATTTGACAGGATATTCGGCACTGTTGGCAAAATCCTGTATTTCAAAGAGAATCCTTGCAGTACGAGTCACGTAGAGCTCGTACGTAAAACGTGTCTAGTGCACAAACTCACGGCATCAAAAATATTACGAACCATAGAAAGGGTGGCGAGGATTTATGCGCGTAAATATGAGAACATCCTCGACGTTATCGCGGCTCGTTTGTGTGAGATATACTTAAATAAATAAATCAAAAGTATCGAATCGATAAACGCACGATAAAAATGTGCCGTGATTATTCGTATCACGTTTAATATCATTAACGTAAAAGCATCTGGTTAAAGTTACCGAAATAGTGCACGCGGATTTAATTCACAACTAATCGCATCAACGTTGCCTAAATCGGTCGGTTTAAACAACCGCTACGCGAATTGCTCTCAACTATGCAACTCAAAAGCACGTTAGTGTTACCATCTAAATTTATGCGTTGCATTATTGGCTCGCATACGCAATTGGTGTACGCTTAAGGCAATGTAACATGCGTACACATATATGCGCATAGCGATGTGTGAGTATATATGATATCACACATATTTACATAATAAATTTAGAGTGCTCTAATGTGACAGATGAAAATATTAAAAATCATTATCTGTATATGTGTGATAAATTAATTATGTTAATATATACATATATGCATATGTCCTGAATTTTATTAATATTATAGATACATCCCTGATTCTATTAATTTGTTGATTCTGTTGCAAACATATGCGATAATTTAGTCCAAATACGCTCCCAACTTAACGTACGAATTGACCTTTCGTAGCGAAAGCCATACCGATTCACATGTTCGGGTGAAAATTTCCGGAGCACTGTCTGCTATCGTTTTCGTATTCATAACCATAAATTTCCGGATGAAATAAATTCATCACGAGGCCGCTTCTTTAATGCAATATGGCGAAAAAGTTTTTTCTCAATCCGTTTAAGGGGTTGAAACTTTGCCAGACAGAGCGGCGCCAAACGGGCTGTGCACTCAGGAAATCTACCTCGAGAGATCCGCCTTTTCTGCTCTGCAATAACAAATGGCTCCGGCCTGGGTCTCATAAGAACCTAATTGAATTAGCGAAAACCGTCGGCTAATCGTGCGAGATATTGCCTCGATTTGTTTGGGACTGCACGAGCGCATAGGTTACAAGTAACGATCGCAAATGTAATATTAACACTTTAGAATGTGGAGTTTTACGTTTTTAGTCAAAACTTTTTCATGTAATTAATCTGAATGTTGATAGAAATAGGAGACATTTTAAGGAACACAAAATAAACATTCATATTAAGATTATTATATCACGAGCCCAAATAGCGCAAAGTGCGTAGATCTTCCCGTACGTTTAACATATTTTAAACGAGGAACATTAATCTTTTCTAAATAGCAAGCAATATACTGTGCCAATATTATCTTTGCAAAATATTTGATCAGCATTATTTTAGTGCAAGGTTTTGGCTCAATATTGTTTTTTTACATCATGTTCTATTTTAAAGCATCAGGAATACATTTGTATTTTTAGTTACAAATGGTCTTGCAAATAATTATTAGTTTCGTTTTGATGAGAATGTGTAAATTGCATTATATCTTACTTTCCGAAATAGAGCTGACAATTAATACTAATTAATTTTCATAAAGCTCTGTGTAGCTCTTACAATATTTGAATGCAAAATAATTATATTGGACAGAATGTGTGAGAGAGAAGTGAACTGTTTTAAATTGGATAAAGTGATTATTTTTGCCGCGAAACATTTATTGCAATTTATTTGTAATTTTAGTGAATTTTAATGAAACACTGAAAAAAATTGATTGAATTGCGTTAAATGATCGGTAACGCAATTGTAAATTTGTGCACATTTTGTTGCGCGCGCCAACATCAAAAAGCCTAAACTAAATGATCGCATTTGATCATTTTTATAATTTAGCGTTTCAATGTGCAACTCCATTAAATCAAATTTTTTTGTCATTTAGTCGCTATCTAGTCGATATCTTGTTGTTTGATAACACAATACAATATAATACCAACTATAAAATATATATAGACACTTTGTTATCAATGTACATGAATGGATAGGTCAGAAAATATCAGAAACGTATATTATAATTTTATTTTACTTACTTTTGCAGAAAGAAATAAATAAAATAATCAATTATTAATTATGTTACGGGGCACGTAATCAGACAAACGAAACGAAAAAAGCTTACAATATCTTTAATA